GAGGTAATAATTTTTGTTATAAGGATCTGTACTTAAAAGTTCCAAGATGTATTTTTGGTATCGTTCTTCTGTTTCTAATTGAATTGTATGGATCTTAAGTCCCTTTTCGTACCACTAGGGTCGATATTTTCCGACAAAGTTGGCTAGTATACATTCATGTACATATTAGCACTAATATATTTAAAATTTTCAATACATTATATCGGTATACAATTCCAAAACATGCCTTTACAAAACGTCATCCTATACAGTAGATTTCAGTTTTTACTATTCGTAACTTTCACGCTTATGTTGCCCATTACAATAACACTGTAAGTCCAAAATTTTGGGTTTATTTTAATCATAGTAATCAATATTTAAACAGGTATCGATATTTTTCAGTTAGACCATAATTATATAGTGGCATGCAGCCTGGAGGTCATTGGTGCATAAAAATAGTGATACTACCATATTGAATGGTGTTTCTTCGAAGCATGTTTTGGAGTTGTACACTTCCACAATACATTGAAAACTTAAAATATATAAAAGCTGATATCTAAAAGAATATATACAAGAAAACTTTCCCGAAAATTTTTGACCCTAGTATTATGAAAATGGACTTAAGTTCCAATATATTGAATTAGCGACAGAATAATGATATCAATAATATATCTTGGATCGTTCAAATACAGATTATTGTAACAAAAAATACTATTTTTAGATACTCCAAGGGTTCTATTAAATCCCAATATCAAATTTTGCTTTTATCTCTGGAAAAAAGAGAAAATACTACAAATATTGCAAAAAAATCGCCATTTTAATGATATTACATAAAAAGAGGATACAAATCCCCAAAAATTTTGGACCAAATGGGCCAAAAATATATCATTTCGGTTGATAGTAACTCTTTGAAACAATTTAAAGCATAAAAACCATTCGATTCTAAAATTTGTGTTTCGTATAATATGATCAAATATGAAATACAGGAAAAATTCGTATACTTTTGTGAGGCAATTTTATAGACTTTTTAAAAAAAAAAGCTAATTTAATTTATGAAAATGTAAATTTTTCAAGTTTTAAAAAGCGTGATATCAAACGTAAGGAATGTCTTGACAATATAACAAATTAATTTATTTTTTTTGCACACAAAATATATTATTAAATTTGGTTTCTTTTCATAGTTCACCTAAATTCGAATACTTATGAGAGACACTGTACATTGATTTTTATATATATGTATATAGAAGATGTGTACGGTGTCGGTCATTTTGGTAAACTTGTTTCTTTTTCGTAATTTGTTTTCTCTACAGGACTATATTGTCTATTTGATGTTCATCAAAAAGCAATACAGGTGATCACAGTTTTTAAACACATTTCTATTTTGATAAGTTCTTTTATTGCGTTATATTGCTAGGTATAACAAGTAAGATCATGAAAGCATGTTTTATGTACGTACATACAGTGAATCAACTAAGTTTTTTGCCTACCTTTTTTAAGAGAATTTAGATATTCTTTAAAAAATACATAAACAAATTGCTTTATTTTGCTAAAAATAATTGTTCAGATAAAGTTTTTTTCTTAAAATGTATAAAATTTTACATAGGCAAATTACTTAATTGATTCAGTGTATATGGATTGAAGTCTTTATGTTTCAAATCACTGAACAACAAGAAGTGAAACATTGACATTGTTTTACAACCACGATCGGCAAATCCTATACACAGTGTATTTTGGCCGTTACAAAATTTACACAGACTACTCACACGCATAGAAAACACAACTCAGTCTCATATGAGCTGCCATTGAAGAAGGTTGTGTTGTCGCTCGTTTCTTGCTTTTGCAATGAAAATGAACGAAAATATATTAATGCAGGGATGGATAATTGTTGTTGTAATTATTATGTATTTTTTAGAATCTACACCAGAGATACAAGCCGATGCGAAATGATCGGCGGCGTAACCATTTTGGGTCGGCGGCGGCGACTAAATTGTCGGCTCAATTTAACTTTTTCTTTAGAAATTGACCTTATAAGGTTTATTATATTGAAAATTTTTTGTATAATAGTCTGTTACATAGAAACCTGTCTCTATATAAGTTTTTTCTGCAGAAAATGGACATTTATAGTAGTTTTCACTATTTTAATATTAGCACAATATTGTGTGGCAACTCTTTTCAATTTGCCATAAGAATTTAAAATAGTGGCAGCTCCGTTAAAATTGGTGAAATTATGTTCTGAAATACATGTGCGATTCTAATCTTTATCAGCGGCTACCGTAGCCGGGCTACGTTTAAGCCGGCTTAGCTTTTGAGCCGAAAGAAGTCGGAAGCGGCGCGGCTTGCAAAATATTACCGGCGGCCAGCCGCCGCCGATTTGAGCCGTCTCGGCTTGTATCTCTGATCTACACTACATATTAAGTAGTTTTTGGAATTATAAACTTTTTAAATGTTTTTTCTTACAACTTAAGTAGCAAATTACAATAATTTACCAAAATATATATGTAATTATGTTAAATCTTTACCCTAAATAGGTATATATTTCATTAAAAACATTGTTGAAAAGCTCATATTTCTATTTCAATATTTAAAATAAATATGTGCAAATAAACCCAACAAAATATTTGTTACTTTTAAACTAAAAAAATATAAGTTTTGTTTTTGATTAATATTATTTCTAACTTTCAGTTTTCCACGCATGCCTTGTTGTGAAGAGTACAACTATTTCTCATTTCTTGTTTTTTTCACTCTTACACTTATACAAGTGTGGTAGTATATGTCTGCCGAGTTTTACAACTATAACATTCAGCTATTCTCATGTTGTTGTAGGTAGGTGGGTAAATTTCATGAAAATAAAAAAATATTTTTTTATTTTCATGAAATTCATTTTTTGTGTCGAAATTAAAATTGAAAAAAAAAAAAAACAATGTCTATGGTAAACGAAAAACATATATCAAATAAATTATGTATTTTTTCAATATTGCAGATTTAGAACAAAACAGACGTGTTTATAAATATATAAAATATATGCAAAATATTTAAAGCGGGCCCAAATATTTCCCGATTTTCTTCATATTGTTGAAATTGTCTAAAATTCGTGACTGAGTCCAAAATTATATGCATTTTAATTTAAAATGTTCAAAAAATATCTTTAACGAAATTTCACAGTTTTTTAGGTTTTTTCATTGATAATGTAAAAATAAAAATTTTGAAAATTTGTTTTCACGAATCCCTCAGCTTTTCAAAAAGTATAAATTCTTTATACATCTTAGAAATTTTTTAAGATAACTTAAAAAGGTACCAGGGGGTAATTCTCGTGATCGAAATAAAATTCGAATCGAAATTAATTTCGATTGTTCGTAATTTTCTCATGATGTTACTCGATACGAATCGAATGTTGCTTCAGTGTTGTAAAAAACTTTCATAATATGTTTTACAATACTGAACGAAATGTTAACAAAACTCATATGTTTCATTAAAAATCAAAAATTAAAAAAAAATAATTAAATTAAAATATAAATATGGAGTTTAATTGCAAAGAGGAGTATTTTATGCAAAATATAATATATCAAGTGATATGTAAATACAACATGGATGTTTGTTTAGTTTGTATTGTATATTATAGGCATATTTTATTGATTACATTAAAGTTAGCAGCGATTTTTTCCCATCATTGCACTTTAGTTCCAAATCAAAATCTAGGTGGACAAAATTAAAAATCTGTATTTTCTCAATTTGGATAAATAACGTGTTTTTCAAATGAACGTTTCATGAGAGAAACGCAAGAAATTCAAATATTGGATCATATTTATACCCTATACAAAAATCGGCAATACTGCAGATTTTCGTAATGATCCCCTTCAGAAAATGACTTGAAGGTCAAAATTCACTTATAAACACTAATATCACGATGAAATTCTGTATAAATAACTTTAAAGTAGACCTAAATCCATCTATCAAAATTTGTAACGATAGGCCTATATTTACCCTTGCTCCCTTATTAGCTCTCTTTCAGAAAATTACTTTTGTTAAACCAATAAACAATTTAAATGGTTTATTATTTAAAATAATTAAAATTTTTTACATACTACACACTGGTGTAGGGTATCATATGATCGATCATGCCACAATATACTTTCTTACTTGTTTTGTTTAAAAATATTTTTAGTGCTTAAATAAATAACCATTATTTTACCACATAGAAATCCATATTTCAAAACTTAAACATTGGAATAAGCTTTTATTAAATGTAAATTCTATAATCATGAAACCCTTTGTCCTGTTTTAGTCCTTTAAACTTGGATCTCAAATATATAATGATTATATTAATCTCTTAAAAAAACTTCCAAGGAATGTCTGCAATAAAATTATAACCGCCGAAATAGGATTATTTCCCCAAGGATATAACCAAGGATTTATTTTGGCATAATTAATTTTTGACCTAAAAGTATTCCATTTTTTTTCCCAGATTTAATAAAATTCATGTTCTTTCTCATTAATTTTTTTCACAAAAACTTTACTTCGAGAAAAAACTCGAAAGGTTTCATTCGAACAACTGTCCGTTATCGAATGCCATCACAAGAAATTTCGATACGTTTTATTCGTTATCGAATAAGAGAATCCAAAAAGTAAAAAAAACTCGTACGATCGAATATAAATTCGTACGTATACGAATGTGAGAATTAGACCCCAGCTTCGAGCGCTTCACTTCTTGTATTTCAGTGGTTCAATCATTTATGCATTTATAACATTTATAACGATTTACTCATGTATCGTATATAGGATCAAATAAAGCTTATCTAATGACAAAAATTTATCCTCCTATCGTTTAGGACGTAAAGACGGTTGGACGGGCACTCATAGCAAGATCGTCTTTGAATCTTGCAAAGACCTAGCATGTTTATACTATCTACGATAAACATCCATATTTTTTGGAGGTTTTAATAATAAAATCGGGGTTTTTTACATAAATCAAACGAAATATAGATTCAAATTAAGAATTTTTTGATAATAATCAAAATACTTACGGTATCTGTTCCTTCTACACATTCGGGCTGTCTACCAAAATTGAAGTCTTTTTTACCAGAAAACACTTCAAATATCAGTTTGCCATTGAAAACGGCAATTTTTGGACGAAATCTTTGCAATTTTTCTAGAAGTATACGACTGCCTTCTTTTATTTCTTTTCTCGTTAAATCGGCTGATCCTTTAGTAGCTCTTTGTACCATGTTAGTAAATCCTATACCATATTTCATGAGTTTAAAATCTTCATCAGCATTCATTTGCTCTTGCGTTAGTCCAGACAAATACAAGCATTTCCAAAAATGATTACCAGGACCAGCGTAATGGTGACCTTTATATGCCGCAAATAAGCCCGGATTAATACCAATCTGAAAATAAATGTCAATTTGTTAATTGAGAGGGTGTTCATACATTTAAAAATAAATGTAATTAATAATGAGGATGTGAAAATAGTCGAATACGGCAACTTTAATACCGATAACACTAATAAATTTATGAAATATTAGCAGTGTTTAATACCCTTCGCCTTCGTGAGAAATTTTGTCATTCCTTTTGTAACTTAAACAATATAATTTATCGACTCTACCCAGCAAAAAAAGTTTGCAGTAGTGCAAAGTGAATGTAAATTTTATGACTTCTTTAATAAAATTCCCTTAAAACTTCAAAAATTAATTCAGATTGTTAATTTAATCAAATGAAATTTATGTGTTATTAGAAATATTTTTGATTAGATTTAGAACCACTTGCACCTCTGATTAAACAACATATTTGTTATTTGTATATTTTAATACTTATAGATAGCTGTCACTCGTTTTAAATAAAAGGTCTGCAAGAATATAGTCGTAGTATAATTACAACTTCCAATCACAATTAAAATAAAGTTCTGAGGTAATAATGACAATTTTTATCAAAATTCTCGTTTGACTTCGTGACTAGAAAATTAAGATTTCCACCAATAGAAGTTGCCAAACTGGAAGATGTTTTATTTTTGTTGAAAATTATTTTATTACTAAAATGACGTGACTTTTTCACGAACAAAAACCTTAAAAATTCGTTGTTCTCATATTTCATAATGTTATTCATCAGTTTCCACTATTAAAAAGAGGCTTTGGTATGATTCGCAACTATTTTATAGGGTCTAAGGCATAGTTCCTCGCTAGTATTATTCAGAATACGTTTTATGTTGAACTTGGCAGCACTGTACAATTTGGCTATCATTTTATTAAAATATTCGTTGATTTCATATTTTTGTTTATAATAGATTTTTGACAATAAAAACGAACTTATAAGAAAAACAAGTAAGAGTGCTATATTCGGCTTTGACGAATCTTATATACGCTTCACCATAGTGTATTTAAAAATTCATTTTCCCAAAAACAAAAACAAAATACACAACGCAATGAAACCAACAGACATCCAAACATACGAAATTGAATGCACCTAGAAACAAAAACAATATACACAAGGCACACAGCCATCCAAACATACGAAACGAAATACTGAAAAAAAAAAACAAAAACAAACTACAAAGGTAATGAATAAGCAGTGTTGTTGTTTATTTTTTATGAAATTTTCAGAGGTTGTCTCGGATTTTTGCTTATATCTCCGTTGTTTATAAACGGATTTTGCTGATGCATGTCTGTGAATTATTGAAGATTTGGATCCCGAAGATATCTGGGGTCTTCAGAAAACTGATTTCAACAGACAGACAGACAGACGGACATGGCTTAATCGACTCCGCTATCTATAAGGATTCAGAATATATATACTTTATAGGGTCGGAAAATTATATTTTGGAAATTACAAACGGAATGACAAACTTATATATACCCTTCTCACGAAGGTGAAGGGTATAATAAATAATACATAGCTATAATAAATGTTTATTTAGTTCAGATGTAAAAATATAACATAAAATCTCTAATTATTATTAAAAGTATCCGAATAACGGATATTTTGCGACAAAACAAACATCACTATTTCACATTTTTTATTTTTACTTATTTTCCTTGTAATTTTTGATAAAGTTTTGCAAATATTGATAAATTTCTTTGACATTTAACTAAATTTAACGCCGGCGAATATATTTTGCATTATATTTAACCATTTGATTGACAGACGGACAAATCCAAATAAACTAAAATTAGTGCTAGCCAAATATTCCAATAATGTCTAGATTTGAGTTTTTCCCAAAATATAATCGTTTAAAATTTTTCTGGGATTTTATTTACAAATTTGAAGAAGTTTTAGATCTTATTCTATAAGAAACCATAATTAGTTTTCGCTATCAACCTAAAATTACCAAAAAAAGCTTTATCTTAGAAAAAAATTTTTTAAATCAACTTATTGTTGGCTTAAAGAAGGATCGAGCCTACAATAAAATTCTTATATAAGATGTTTTAAGCTATTTGACGTTTATGAATACAATTTTCCTGAATTTTGCCTAAAACTGTTTAATAGATCTAAAATAAGTTTTATAAATACAACCGTTAGACTTTGTAAGATGTCAAGGACCGCATGAGTTCTCAGCTGTTTTGAAAGCGAAATCTGGAATATTGATGACCTAGTCAGTTCAATAGTTCCAACAACCATCACATCTTAATCGTAACATTAATATAAGACATTATTTTAACCGCCAGAATTGAACTTTAGAAGCAATAAAACAGTAAAAAAGTGTAATTAAGAAAATAGGCAAAAATTCTCGAAAATTCCCGGAGAATATTATAAATATATTATAAAACTCTAAAAAAATATATTCCTTGAAAAAATCGTATGTATGTATGTATGTATGTATGTATGTATGTATGTATGTATGTATGTATGTATGTATGTATGTATGTATGTATGTATGTATGTATGTATGTATGTATGTATGTATGTATGTATGTATGTATGTATGTATGTATGTATGTTATGTATGTATGTATGTATGTATGTATGTATGTATGTATGTATGTATGTATGTATGTATGTATCCATAAATAACGGATACATAACGGATTCATACTTGGTAATGATATCAGGTTAATATTTAATCATTCAGGTAATTTTGAGGGATCAACTCATAGATTGGTCATAGCTTCCATACAAAATCCACCTTAAAAATCATTAATTCGCAAATAATTCAAGAGCGATAAAATTTGACTCGAACATGTTTTGTATATGCATAAATCATTCTGTGAAATTTTTTCCGGATCGGCCCAAAATTCTTTTCATACCCACCATCAAAAAAGATGGGTATATTGATGGTATATTGGTCTAGCCATGTAGTCAGTCCGTCTGTTGAAAGCAGGATAGAGTCCTAACGGAATAAGCTAGAGGTCCGACATAAATAAGTTTCATATAAGCCAAAATCTCTCTACCAAATTATATGAGGATAGATTCATAATTGACCCCCAATATAAGGTCCCCTCATAAAATTACTATAACGCTCATAACTTGCTGCAAAATAATAGTAAAGCTACGAAATTCGACGTAAGCAAGTTTTCGAGGTACTAAAATCTATGTGCCAAAATTTATGGAATTCAGCCCATAATTGACCCTACCCCCCACATAAGGTTCTTCTCAGAAAATTACTTAAAAGTTCATAATTTGCTTCAAAATTCCAGCATATCAATGAAATTGACAGAAACATGTTATTTAGAAACTAAAGTATCTCTGCCAGATATAAAGATTGATTTTGAATTTTTCCAATACAATGTCTTTGATGTATTTTTTTTTCAAATATACATCATTATACAAATATATACATTTTGATGAAATTTTCAGAGGTTGTCTTGGATTTTTGCTTATATCTCCGTTATTTATGGTCGGATTTTGCTGATTTTAAATATGAAACTTCTCGAAAGCATATCTGACAGAATTATTCTGGGGTCTTCAGAAAATTGATTTCAACACAAACACAGACAGACAAACAGACGGGCATGGCTTAATCGACTCTATCTATAAGGATCCAGAATATATATACTTTATATTGTCGGAAAATTATATTGTAGAAATTACAAACGGAATGACAAACTCATACATATATACCCTTCTCACTAAGGTGAAGGCTATAAAAAGCTCGAAAGGGTTGAATATAAAAAAATAATGCATAAAATTTTAAAATATGCTGTTAAAATTTTTGATAATAATATTTAAAAATTTAAAAGCTTAAAAGGGTTGCAATTACATTCTGAAATTAACATCGTCTCATTGAAAATAAAAAATAATGCATAAACTTACTCGAAATATAGGCTAGGTTATTAGAGTATTAAAAGCAAATCGTGCAAAATTATGCTCTTATGCGTAAAAAGTGCGCTAACAAATCGATGTCAAAATTCTTAAATTGTTCTATCTCGTCTAAATATTTTGTACAACGCACAACATGCATTTGCATTTTTTACAACGTCATTACAACAAAATAATTCCCAGTTCCGAAAATGACTTCACTGCAAAAAATTAGTTCTGCGAAGTTGTTGTTACGGAAACCAAATTTAAGCTTTAATATACATGTATGTATGTATGTATACTAAATGTGAATTTTTATAAATAGAAGTCGCAATCACACGTATTCGTACGTGGCATCGCCTATTTTGACTTGTCTAGGAGGGTACATTTTAGGGTAGAACAAGATGGGAAACCGTCAATGAAAGGGTTCAGACTAAGTCGTCTCAACAAACCCTGGGTAATATGTTCCAAACTGATTTGAAAGATGTTATGCATGAACAACCTAAAATGTTTTTCAACGAGTATAATACAGATCTGAAAAAGGCAAAGCTGATCACATGGATGCGGTACTGAATTTATCGACAAAAGGTCTATTCGCGTACTTGATAATAACGAGAGAGTAAGAGAGCGACAAAGATTACAGTTCGTTGATAGAGAATTTTTTAATTTTACATCAAACATACATATGTTCACAACATATGATTGATTAATGAATATGTAAAAAATCAAAGAAAAATTTTGTAAGTTTTACATTTTTTTAAAGAAATATATAAATTAATAACACACGAATATTATAAGATTATTTGTAATTAGATTAATTCTAATTTTATTTATTATAAATTAATTTTTAAAGAGTTTGTTTTTTTTTTTTAAATCATAATAAATCTTGTCAATCTAGGGATTTTAAAACAATATAGAGGGTCTTTCTCTTAGCGGTTTTGTGTAAATTTTCATTTTAATAATATGTTTGTATCTCGAAGTTTTAAAACAATAATATATTTTTAATGATATTACATGTTTTTTTAATTTTAAGTATCCTTTTGTTTACAAGAAAATCATATTTTGTTTCTTGTTTGTTTTTGGTGTTTTGTTAATAGGGATGATAGCAAATGTGTGGAGTCTAGCTCTGAGACTTTAACCTTACGTAGAATGAAAGGTT